GGACCACCACTGGCTTTGTCTCTTGGTTTCAGAATGCAAACTGGGAGACCAGCACCTAAAAAAGCTGCTTTCTACAGAATTTCCCATTCACTTCCCCCACACTTTTTTCTTACCATTTTAGGTTTCAAACAGCACTCAAGTCCCAAGTGTTTGCCTCCATCTCTTTCTCTTACACACAGTGTGAGTCAGTCCTCCTAACAAAGAGTCTGGCTGTATGCCACCATCTCAGAAATTCAGACATTACCACGTCTTCAGGTAACAGAATGACTGCAGGCACCCCACACTGTACAGCATTTCCTAGGTGCAAGCCCAGTTCAAGCAAGAGAGACCCTCCTCCCTTTGCAGAGAACAGCAGGCACAGTTTTCTGTGAACTTGAAACAAGCTTGTGTGTCTCCCTCAAACTGACAGTTGATTAAAGCTAATGAAACATTAGAGTAGCAGTCCCTCTTTGATATTTCTTAAGAAATAATTACACTCCAAAGGCTTGACCTTGCCCTCCAAGATGACTCAGAGCCTGTAACAATGCTAGTTTGTACAAGACAAAGCTGAATAAATGTGCCCAGAACACACACTGCAAAGCTGTCAACCTATGAGCAACTTCAACGGGAAATTAAAAATGGAATGGGCCTGTATTTTGTATGATTTACAGTTAATGTTTCAGATCAACAGCTCTGCATAATACCCTGGAGAACAGTGGAATAAACAACTCTGAACAAAAACATATGGGGCCTCAGTCATCATCCACCAAGCTGTGCCAGCACACTCCAGTCCTCACCCTACCCCATCTCCACCCCACATCTCCAGGTCACTCCTTCACTTCACAGGACCCCTTCCCCTTCCTCCCCTTGTCCCACTGGGCTGCAGCTTACCTAAATTTCAGTCATAGCCATATGATGTTATTTTGTAATACAAGTGTGGCTTAGTTCACTATTTAAGGGCCCTCTCCCTTCCATCTCTCCCTCACCCTGTCACCAACCGTATCCCTGCCTGGAGGCTTTCAGCACACCCCATCCAATCGCACAGGCTATCAAAAGCCCGAGCAGTTTATTTAACTACAGTAACTGTGCAGCAGTCTAAAAAAACCATCACACCTGCAATAACATCAAACATTTTACTGTTCACCAATGCAATGAGAACATTATTTTTCAGCCAGCCTGAACCCTCTCCTCTCCCATCATCACGTAGAACAGCCTGCCCTCTAGTTTGTCCTGCTGCAGTAGCAGCAAAGTTCACACACATTCATCCGTGTTAGGGTGTGACAAAATTCCCTTTAACAAGACCATCACCAATGTCACCATTTGCCTACTCGGTGCTCAAAGTTAGTAGATGGATTATGTCAGGCACCCCCAACCACAAACCAGAGCTGACCACCAGCTTGCTTTCCTTGGCTATGCACCCACCACAATGTTCTGCAGGCATTTTAATAAAATTAAAATCAGACATGGTAGGAAGTACAGAAGAAAACCACTAATTTTGAGACGTCACTGATTTTCCACTTGTCAATTCCCTTCACTGCCTTTAGTATTCAGTCTTGGAAAAACATTCCAGAAAGCTTCTGCTGCAATCTCAGTCTCAAGGTATTTGTTCACTGCCAGACACAATTTCTTGCTTTAGCTAAACTGCCCCATTTTCAACCTATACAAACAGATGATGGACCACTGAGAGGCAATTTTGAAGTACTGAGTGGCTTATGCACACCATATTTTCCCAATTTTTTTTAACAACAGTTGTCCCAGATCCATTCTTAGTAATAAAACCAACTTACAGTACCATTTTAAAGTACTATACCATTAAAAATTTTCCATTACCACTTTATAGAAACTAAAACCCAAAGCAACAAGAAAAATCACCTTTTAACTTTTATCCGTTTCCATATTTGTCCATGTGGTGGTTTGGCCCTGGCTGGACACCAGGTGACCACCAAAGCTGCTCCATCAGTCTCCTCCTAAGCTGGACAGAGGAGAGAAAATATATTGAAAGGCTCATAGGTTGAGATAAGGACAAGGAGGTCACTCAGCAGTTACTGTCACAGGCAAAAGAGGTTTGATTTGGGGAAATTAATTTATTACCTACCAATCAAATCAGAGCAGGGTAATGAGAAAAAAAAAAACTAAATCTTAAAACACTTCCTCCCCCACCTCTTCCTTCTCCCTGGGCTTAACTTTCCTTCAGTTCCCTATCCTGTCCCACAGCAGCACTGGAGAATGGGCAATGTGGGTTGTGCTCAGTTCATCACTTTGTCTCTGCCACTCCTCCCTTCTCCTATCCTTCCCCTGCCCCAGCGTGGGGTCCTCCCACAGGCTGCAGTTCTTTGGGTACTGCCCCAGATTGGGTCCCTTCCACGGGCTGTCATCCTTCAGGAGCAGATTGATCCAGAGTGGGTCCCCACCACTGGGGGATGACACAGACTGCCCTACCATGGACCACCACAGGCTGCAAGTGAGTATCTGCTCTAGAACAGACCTCCATGGGCTGCAAAGGGCCAGCCTGCCTCACCATCATCTTCACCACAGGCTGCAGGGGAACCTCTGCTCCAGCACCTGGAGCACGTCCTCCCCCTCCTGCTTCACTACCTTGGTGTCTGCAGAGTTATTCCCCTCTCACATTCTCATTCCTCTCTGTGGCTGCAGTTTCTGTTGTGCAGAATTTTTCCCTCCTTCTTAAAAACACTATTCCCAGCGGTGCTACCACCACCCCTGATGGGCTCGGCTGTCTTGGGGCTGGCTGGCACTAGCTTTATAGGACATGGGGGAAGATTCTGGCATCTGCTCACAGAAGCCACCCCTGTACCCTCCCTCACTACCAAAACCTTGCCACACAAACCCAATACAGTGTTACTTACACCCCAAAAAGAATTACAATGGCCGTTAAACCACTAAAAAATTGACATGAGAACTCACTTTGAGGTTAACAGGAACATCAGATACATGTAAGGAAACCACCTAAAGAGACCACAACAAAGCTCTTGAAATATAATAAATCTCAGTATTGGTAAGGCACACCAGGAGTCCCAGTAGGGTGTAGCCCACTATACTCTACAAAGTAGGGCTGCAGTTTCTGTTCCTTGAGCTCCCCAGTCATGATGCAATTCCACCACTTGGGTGTTTCCAATGCACTGTCTACCCAAGTGGTTGTCTCAGCTCCCAGGTGTAAGCAGCACAAGCCCCAGTACTTGACTGTTACCATGCAGACACTCATGTGTTGCCTCTTTTCTCAAGGAAACACTGTGGATCAAAGCATGTCTTCAAAGATGATCTTCCAATGGATGGATTGATGCTCAGCTCATTACCCCACAGCTCAGACATTACAGTGTCTATACTTACAGCACAGGCCAAGCTCTTCAGATTTTTTAACCAAACAATTATAATAAACAGTTAATTCCGTGTTACTCCTAGGAAATTAATGTCTAGGAATTCTAGTAGGTGAGACATACAACAGATATAGCACAAGACTCAGTGAGTAAAGGACAACAGCAAAGTTCCAATTTATTCATAGAATCATGAAGGTTGGAAAAGACCTCCAAGATCATCAAGTCCAACCATCAACCCAATGCTACCACTCCAACTCTCCACTATAAATGGAGTAAGAAAAAAAAAAAGCTACTGAACAGTGCTATAGCTGGTCTATTTGTTGTAGGCTGTGCTAGACATAAGCAGTATTAAGGATATTGTTTCAGAAGTTGTTCAGCACACGTGCTCATTTACTGGCTCTTGTATTGCAGGGCAGATTTTTATTAAAAGCCAGTATTCATTCTACAACATATGGTTCATATACTTGAAAACAGGAAGCCATTATGCCAAGGTACAGACTAAACCTGCATTTCAAGCACTATGAACACTCTCCAGTTTGGTGGCAGCAACCTGACAAGAGGCTTCTGGATTAGAAGAGTTAACATTGCAGAAGGAAAATGTAAAAATGGATCTGCAGTGGTGTGACATGGTGTAGATGTTTATGCATGGCTGGGACCTGGGTGGGCATGACAGGAATGAGACCTGGGAACATTCTTCAAGCTGTTGGTCATGGATAAGTGATTTTTATCTCATTTATGGGTAAGTCTGACCATGGACAAACACAGAACCAAAACTATCCCAAGACTTATATTAAGCAGAACACTTCCAAACAAGGCTCAATACAACGAACAGGTAAATTCTAATTAACAGAAAATGACCTCAAGCACAACAGCTTAACAGCAATCATCAGCGTTAGGAAAGTTCTGTGCACTGCTGGAACCTTAGGAAGAACATTTTATCTACAGACAGCAGCTTGCTAATGACAGCACAATAGTGAAATCAAAGTCAAGTTATCCCACAAGACAAAAATCTCACTATGGTCTGGCTACAGAAAGTTGCTACACACAACCAAGAAAGAAAACAATCAACATTTTATCATTTCACAGTGTACAAGTTAATATTTAAGAGGAGAAGCGAATTTTCCATGTAGCCATCTGCAAAATTTTATCCATTATGAAGCAAAACACAAGAGTGCTCGCAGGGGGGGAAGGAGCGAGCTGCTGTGTGGGGCTGAGTTGCTGGCTGGGTTAAACCACGACACCCATAACTCAGGAAGCTCTCCACAGTAAAGTGAAATCCCACCTTTCCCACTGGAGTTGGGAAGGGAGTAACAGCTTTTGTAACTAGCAATCAATTACTCGAAAATGTAACGCTTGCCTTGTGCTACTATTATCTTCAGAGTAAGGCAGGAAAATACTAGGAATGGCAAAATAGCTATGGGATGTTTTTCAGAAAAAATTATTTCATTCCAATTCCAGGTGAACCTCCTCAGCTCCACCTGGTAAAGGCTGGCTGCAGAACAACTTTCATCAGCATTAGACACAACACTGGTACACATTCCAGAAGACCACGGGTCTGATTCTAACCTGAGCTGAGGCCCAAGCCCCATCTTTGCACCTGTGTATTACACATTTTGAAGAAAGCTTTTCCTTCAGCTCACAAGAGTCTGATTTACAGTCTGTAGGCATCAGGCAAGGGCGATCTTCATCCTAGTCCTGCTTGCCTTCCCGCCACTGCCGGGAGCCCTCGTTCCACGCCACGTACACAAAGAGAGCAAGCACCACGTGGACAGTGACCACAGCAACTATGGCTGCATAGAAGTAGCTGTCTCTGTCCGACATCCCTAAGGTACCTGAGAAAATAAAGAAAGTGAACAGTATCAGTCATCAGGAACAGGGAAATGGCAAATCACAGCTCTTACCAGAGACTAAGGTTACGTTTACTCCTGCACCAAAAGCCTGAGCTCAGAAAGGTTCAAAGGAAAGAAATCACAATGACAGTTGTGGACCTTGAAACTATTTCTGGAATAAAGCAACACTGCAATTACTCAATATTTAAGGTAAAATACCCTAGTTTTGAAGTAAGCAGCACAGAGTTCTATAACATGCACTTCTTTTGTTACTATCTTCCAATACTAAATAAACCCCAACATCCTTTTTTCACAAGTGTAACTCTTTGTGGGGCAGGAAAACGGGAGAGGAGGATAATTATATAACATATTTGCCACTATAACAGAATAAAATGATAGAACCATACTTAAATTTAGATAACTTCTATCGTGTATATTTAGACTGTGAAACAACACCTCACCAGTTCAGATACCCAAATGCATCTCACATGAAATAAGCCTTTAAATATCAGAAGACCCAATACAAAATTATCATTTCATTCATTAAAAAAAAACCCCAACAACCCAAGAAAAAAAAAAAACATGTATCACGCTACACCAAAAATATCACACTCCAAACACAAACCCCATCCTATCAGTGCTGACAGATCTTGCCATTAACTGACACAGAACAGTTAAGGATCATCTTGTGGCATCCTCAGGTAAAAAAACAAAACCCAAAACACGCTGAAAAGGATCTTGAAAGCTCCTTAACAAGCTTTCAGCTTCAGCCTTCAGAACTACATATAGCAGTACACACCAAAGGAGAATTATCCTGGAAGAGCTCAGTTATATATTCACAAACTGCTCTTAAAAGCAGCTGCTTTCTCACTCCCTCCTCCTCGCTTTTGAAGGAGACACTCTTCTCCTGCAGCATCAGGAAGTTATTAAAGCCTTGCAGGATCAAGGCTAGAGCACGGCTGCCTGTTAGAAGTTGAACAGAACTGCTCCAAACAACTAAAATTGCTTCCCCCCCTTTTTATTGTTATAGTTTTTTTAATTTAAAAGTTCTACAAGCAATCACAATCAATATTTGAAATGGGGTATTATGACTTAACTGGTTTGCACTTAAAAATACAGGTATGTTCTAAAAAGCAAAAAATAAACACTTTAAATAACATTATTCTTTCTTGAATACAAAATTAGCTTGCAACACCTGCAGGAAACTCTATCCCTGAGGATTTTGATACAAGTCTGCTGCAGGGTGCTCTTAGATACCCTGTAGGGAAGGGGAATGGTGCACCTGTGTGCTCTAGAAACCATCAGATAAAAACCAGCAAGCTTTAGACAGCAGCCCACAATGCAGGGACAGATGCATTGATCATTTATATAATTTTCTGCTCTAATTAGACATTACAAAACCTTTAATCTGCATATGGAAATAAATATTCAAAACAGGAAGGAAAATAACGATGCTATTAGAACTGTGCTTTTCTTCTTTTTTTTTTTAGCAATAGGAATGCTAATTGGCAGAAACAGTTATTACCTTCAAATACATAAGCCTTTGATGAAAAATATAGCCCAACAGGTAATGTAATCATTAGAGCTGTGAAGAATAGAAGTGTTCTTAAAGTTGATGTTAATGAACCCTCATTTCTGAAATAAATAAGAAAAGTTACACACAGAAGAAAGTCACAATATGTATGTCTGAAACAGGACAAGAGCTCGTCCCAAACAGAAGCCAACTGCTTTTCAAGAATGGAGGATATCTATCATTGGGAAGCAAGAAAAACTTGGGAGTACACATCTGTTGGCTGCAATAGAAAAATGGTAGTGTTCAAAACAGCGTAAAGATTCTGCCAGTCAAACCTCACAAACAACATTAACACCAGTCTTCAGTCTTTTCCCTGCTACTGCTTTGCAAGCATGAACAACATGGGGGGTACGTTAACGTTTAGCAGTGTATTATACAATAATCATTAAATATCTAGTGTTAGACACACATGCACTTATCATATGACATTACGGCTTGCTAAGTTCCCCATTTTTATTTTTTTTTCTTTTTCAAAAACCCTACCAGCCTAGGAAAATGACAAATCCTACAGGCTAGGATGCAGAGGGAAGTACGCAGAGTAAGTGAAAAAAGAGTAAGCTTCAGCAGCTTACTACTGGAAGTGTGGTTCCCTTCTGTTAGGTCTTGTTCCCCTATTTAAAATAATTCCTCCGTTTCCACTGATAAACTTGGAATAACTGCAACATTAATCAGAACACAGAACCAATGCACAAAAAAATGAGTAACTTTTTTGTCCCTTCACAGACTTAAACCTAAATGACATTGAGCAAGAGAATAACAATGAAGGATTATGTACTTGGGAAGGTCTCCCTGAACTTGATCTGCTAGAGCAGGTTTTCTATCTGCTACAGACTATACAGGGCCTGGTTTTGTGTGTGCTTCCACCAGTCTGCACTCACTCTGCTTGGCTGACTGCATTATTTTATGCAGAAAAAAACATGTAAGCCAAGCAATACCCTTCTGACCTTCAAAGGCTACCATATTTCATGGCAAGTGTCCTTACAGCTCTGAAACACAAATATGCATAAAACCCAATTCAAGTTAGGGATACATAACTCTTAAATCTCCCAGGCACCTCCACAGCAATTTTTGTATAGCCAGTTTCAAAAAATTTTACCAAGACACGTGTGTGCCATAGTATATTGCTTCAAATCACATTTTATCCTTGACATTTCTATGAAAAAATAAGCAGAAGTGGGAAAAACGAGTAATCTCATCCTCTGACCTTCATCAGAAGACAGTGACACGCAACTACACAAAGTTTTAAAACTAGTGCAAACAGAATTTTTTCCTGATGTACTGCATACATTTAGGGGGCATATTATGCAAAAAAAAAAAGGAATCTTTTCCCTTACTAGAGTCTGTCTCAAAGTCTGCTGGGATAGAAAGCATAACTCCAGTCAAGCTTTCACAGGGAAATTAGGAACTACTCTCTATTTAACACCTACCCATAGAAGAATAAGACAACCAAAGTTAAAAACTCCACTCTTGACAAAGACTTTTTTTACACTAACATGCTCCCCAC